TGTATGCCTTCCAAAGAATGCTCTTTATGTGTTTTGTTTTACACATCATTAGCACTCAAATAATTTTAGGGGGTTAAATGAAAGGGGCGAAAAGTGAACTCATATCAGCAAGCATGAAGCATTAAGCGGGAAGCCAGACAAGTGAATGCAAAACATTTGAACATGTGTGCAACAGCTGCAGCAGCTATCGGTTGGGTGGAACACAACACACACAACTCGTGGCTTCTTTAAAACACTTGTTGCGAGGGTCGATCGTGTTGCTTTCGTGTTTACTTTGTTTGCGTTGCACACAACTCTGAGGTGTTCATGTTTATTAATGCTGATACCATTTAATCTGCAATGTTGGCTAAACACCTGAAGTTAAAGGTACTTATTTCTTGCGGATACCTCTTGAGTGCAGCTGCAGCTCTTGCTAATTAACTCTGATAAATAGATAAGTAGCATCTTGACTATGGCCATGACCATCATCAAGTGAAGAACGAACTCATTTGTCACTGCTATTATCGGTCTCTGGCATCTTTGGCAGCAATCTAGATACATTGGTATCTTAGTGAGCTATTACTTCATAAATACAGCTAAACAAAAGTTAATTCAATCAGCCATCTCGCAAATTGGCACTCACTTTGGGAGCATCGCATGAAATGAGAGCAGCAAGCAGCCTGTGCCAAATACTAAAATGTGATAGCCAAACCCAAATAGTACAAAGTGGGAGTAAAATAGAAAAAAACCAACACAGTTTGCCAGCTCTGCACAACAATTGACTAGTTTTTGCCCTCAGATTACGCAATATGCCAAATCATTGAACATGTTCAACATTTGCACTTACATATGTATTATGTGGTTTCGCTGAATTGACAAGTCACAGTTACAGTTCAATGTGAACATTTGCATCTAGCCGTTGACAATAATACATGCATATATTTATATATGCATGTCTATTGCAACTACTGAAGATCAAGATATAAGCATTCATTGTCAACATGCAGAGTGATCATCAATCAAGGTTGGCAATTGTTGTTTATTATTATAACAATTAACATGTACTCGACTTTGCGATCTTTATTTATAATACTATCTACAATTCTCCCTTGTCTTTCTTCCTCTAGGAATTCTCTTTAAATCTTTATTGATTAGTTGGTTTTTATACTTGCTTTATACTTCCAATGAAAAAGACAACGCTATTGTTTTCTTACCTTATAGCTTTATATTGAACTTTATCTTTAATCTTTGAGATAAAGTACTTCCATTTTAATTTCATGTATTTTTTCTTTCTTACGTATTCCTTTATTCAAGCGTAGAATTTACAAATTTCTCATTTGAAATTCTTGATCTGTTTCTTTTTACTTAGACTTAACTTTGTTTCTATATAGATAAATCTATTGTTCCCTTACCTTCATTTGTTTCAATCCTTACACATTTCCTTCTTCCTTAATTTAAACAGGAGCTTGTCTATCTTTAAGTTTAGGTATTTTTTCGTTCCTTATTATTTTATTTACTCATTCTTCCTATTTCATAATTTCTCCAACTCATTTTGTTCCTAGATCGTTCCTTGTCTCTTTTTCTACTTCTTTATACGTATACTCACTGTCCGTATTATCTGTTTATCTTTTTGATAGAGCCCATTAAAAATGGGGAAGTGGGTTTCATGACGTGGTGAAAAGTAAAATAAGAAAGTGACAGCAAAATAGAATTATATCCAACCCCATAACATTTATAGGTTCTTGATCAGGTTAAACAATGATTGTTTAAGTTTAAGTTTATTGCATTTTATCGATAAATGTTCCGTTTTTTTGCTAATTCGGTACAAATCGATATCAATAAAACCACTAAATATATATACAAATATAAATCTTTCTAATCGATAATGCATAGAGATCATTGTATCTAATAGTCGAGCTCCCTCGACTAGAGCATTATTACTTGTTGCCATTTGTGTCGTCGCATTTTGAAATCAAACGCAGAAGAGCCACAATGTGTATTCTCGTGGGTGAACTGTGACACGATACGTGGCGACGTCTGCTCAGCTTTAATTTTAAAATTCACCATTTCAGAGAACACTTAATTCGCCAGATTCGTGGCGACAATTTTGCGCTTGTGGCTCGTTAAGAGTTTGCTTGTCATTCGCCGGCGGCAGTTGTTGCTGTTGGCTTTGTTCTTGTTTTTGTTATGATTGTGACTTTGTTGGCCAAGATACGCGATGTGATCAAATCGTCAGATGCAGATACGTATATATATATATATATATATATATTTATATATATATAAATTCGGTATTTATTATGTGTGGCATATTTAGCAATGAATTTTGTTTACAAGCTAACGTGCTCTGGCTTTGCCTCTATTTTTGAGGTATGCACATTTTCTTCTCACACATTTAGCTGCTGCGTCATTGTTAATAAATAAACGAATGATGCGGCAAGGTAAAGGTCAAGTTGACCTAATCAACGGCAATTTTGTGAACGCTCGTTAATTGACTTCTGCGCCACACTGATTGGACTGGTTGGCAGAGAGCAATCAATTCACAAGCAGCTCGAGTTGAAACGCACTTGTTTTTACATTTGTCAGCTAAACAAAAAGAGAACAAAATCACTGAGCTGAAATCACTGAAATCAGTGTAGTCCTTATAGACTCAAGCTGGCTCATTAAAAAGCCATCAGGACAAGGACTCGAAACATGAAACTAGTACAACACTATGCATGCCTTGCGGTCTTATAGTTACTTGGTCCAATCCACACCCACAGATTCGATAAAAAAAAAAGCAGAAATACTCTGCAATTCAAAAACAACAATGAAAATGAACTGAAGTTAAAAGCCGCCAATCAATAATACAGATCTGGGCAATAATTCTCAGTTTTCACATCGCCAAGGCAATGGGTTAACTTATAATCTATAATCGAAACCGATTTACAATCGATTAAACTCAATCCTTACCATTTTCATTTTCAAAAAACAAGTACGCATTTTGAATTAAAGGGTATTGTCAAGTTGTCTGGCAGCCAGTCAGTCAGTTCATATGTTTACTTCTCTGCTCGGTTTAGGTAGCAGTTAACCCTGCTAAGTTATCCCCAAAGGATCCGGCAAAGAGTTCGTAGCTCGGCAAGGTTTATTTTGGGTGCGGTCACATGTGCGTGCTTAAAGATGAAAACCACAACTCAGCCAAAACAAACGCTGCAAGTGATTTGGGGTGCAATTTCCTTCATTTTTTTTGTATCCTTTTCCTTTTGGGGCGTGCCTACGGCTTTTCCTGCGGCTGTATCTGGGTTAATGGGTTCGGCAATGGTATTGTTTATCCAGCTGATTGGTGTGGCCATTGGACATAATGGATGTAATTGGCGTGGCACGGATTTGTTTTTTGGCAATCGAATATGCTTAAGATTCTGAAGAAGACCCGAGGCTTTAATTTGGCTTGAGTGAATTGCATAAATTGAAGTATGTAAACCAAATATCATTAGAACTAATAAGTTCATTGTTAGAAGTTTGTTTGCACTTGTTGATTGTTCAGTTGTTCTCCGTTTGGAAAAATACTCAAGGGCTCTCAACTAATTTCTGGTATTGTTTTACGAGTAAGACTTTTTCACAGAACTACACTAACCAAAAACCTAAAATTAAAAAGTTTCCCTGGCATAATAGAATTGTACAACAGTAATATATTTATATAATTACATTATCGTTAGCACTTGTTAAACTATGAAATTGAAATTCGTTGCATTTCAGAGCGTGTTCTGCTTTGCACATATTGTTGAACTGAGAAAAATATCAAAACTTCTAACATAGTATTTTTAACTTTTCGTCAGAATTGATTTTTGTTCGACGCAAGATTAACTGAGTCTCAAAAGATACACATTTCAATTACGCACATTGTCTGAAATTCCCCGAACAGATCAGATACAAACATTAGTCAGCTAACTAAATATTTCGAAATTGCGGCACGTCCAATAATGTTAAGGGGAAAACCTAAGAATTTTCTCGTAGGAGTGTAGGGGATGTTGTTGTGTGTGTTTCTTATTTGTTATTTTAATTATTTTCATCTATCTTTTTTTTATATTTTTATACGTGTATTAATTTGCCGGCAAACATAAAGACGACAGCAACTGTGACGCTGATGAGTGCGTCATAAAATTTCCTAAAATCAGCGATACAAATTTTGATAATTGATCAAAGCGTGGCATGCACACGCACACGCACAGTCGACACCAAAAGAATTTCTGTTCCCGACGCTTGTTGGTGTCTTGCGTGTTGCCCTTTTAATTATTTAAGTGCTGCAGCTTAATTTATACGATCAATTTTACTCACCTCATTTTGCGAAGGAATGATTGAATGCTCTAGCGTTGCGATTAGGCGCCTAGAAAACTTTCTTGGCTGCCAATATGTATATTTAGAATACTCGAATCAATGGCTGCTCGCTCAAAAGCTACCCTATAAATATAAATGAATCTGCATACAAATAGGTTAGCATTAGCACACATATTATCGTTCAAAAAAATCAAATAATGGCTGGTTGTGAGATGTACGTGTGCAGAATATTTATTGATAAATTTTAACAAATATTAGCTGCTGTTTCTTGAATGAATGAATGAGTGACACAAGGAAAACGGCAATTTCCTTTTTTGGAATATCGATTCGGAATATTAGTCGTAGCCGTCAAATAAAAATCTATCAAGATTGAAGGTTCTTCACATCTACTAGAAGAGTAGTCACAATATATTCATTGGCGTCTTTCGGAGCTTGGTGTTCGAGCTAATTTGAGAGTGAGATTGAGATTGCCATATTCACGAGATGACTCCTCTTAAGTTACCTATTCAATTCAGTCAAGTAGAATGAATGCCTTAGCAACGAATATAATATGAGTATGTAGCTACTGAATTTCAGTTCAATACACAGAGCACTCTTAAGGTTTTTTGTATATCTATTAAAGTCACACACATACTTCCCCAACAAATTCCAATATGTAATGCAAAACATCCTCTCTAATACGATTTGTATTTCTTTTTATTTTGCAGGTGGACGAGTGAAGGGACTTCAAGGCCAGAGCCATGCACAAATCCTAAACATGGCTGTCAAATAACTCAACACGAATACACAATACTAGAAATATAGTAAGAAATATAGAGAAAAGCCCCACAGATCGAAAGCAACGTCAACAACAAATTACGTGGAGTGGAACATTTTCAAAGCTCAAATTTCCGAATAGCAGCAAAGGGGACAACAAACAAATTAAGTAGCCAAGGAGTTGGCCAAGGCGGCGCCTGTCAACCGCCTTAAAGCAGGCAATAGTTTAGTTTATTTGGGATCGGGTGGCAACGCCGCAAATTAACGGCTTGAAGGCAAGCAATTGATGACACTACTTGGGCCTAGCGCCCCTGGCATGGCCTTTATGATGAAAAAGAAAAAGTACAAGTTCAATGTGGAGGTCCAACTGCAGGATCTGGTCGAGGTGGCCCTGGTCAATGAGGTGCTCTTTGCCAAGATACGTCTACTGGACGGTGGCTCCTTTCAGGAGTACAGCAGTCGGTAAGTTTAACCCATATATATATATTTTATTTTCTTGAAACTATTATTTTAATAAACTATTAATAGTTTAAGACAAGCCTTCCTGGTCCCAATTGTGGTACTATTGATAAAGTTAATATGATTACATTTGAAAGATGCTTTAAAATGTATATAATCAATTTGAAATATATGAAATCAGTAGAGAATCTTAATCGATAATTTATACATCTAAATAGCTATCGAAACACCTTCAATTTCTAGAAGTTTCTTTTAAAATCATACTCAGAAGATCATTCTTATTTAAACTTACAGCGAGGAGGTGAAGAATCATCGCGTCGAGTGGAATCGTAGCTTCGAGTTCCTGTGCAAGATGAGCGCCAATGCCTCGACTGGCGTTTTGGATCCCTGCCAATTGCGCATCTCGATACGTAAGGAGATGAAGGGCGGTCGCAGCTATTACAAACTCGGCTTTATCGATCTAAATCTGGCCGAATTCGCTGGCGCAGGTCTCACATCGCGCCGATTTCTGCTCGAGGGCTACGATTCGCGCCATCGCCTGGATAACTCCATGCTGAGAGTTAGCATTAAAATGCATATGCTAAGCGGTGATATACTCTTCAAGGCGTGAGTAGTCTAATCTTTATATGCATATATATATTTCTATGCTGATGTTACTTTTATTTCTTTTGCAGTCCCACGCCTAGCCTGAAGAGCAAGCCGAGCAAAGCTACCGCTGATGATCTTGTTAATGATGGCGCCTGCAGTGGATTGCAAACGCCAACGGCTACAGCGCTCTCCAGCATTGGTGGTGCCAGCAGTGGTGGCTCCGCCATTCCCCTGGGCGGCAGTGGCGCCACTTTGGGCGGCGTTGCCATCCCAATGACTGCGCCGGGCACACGCCCCGCCTCCAGCACAAAGGAGGAGGGTAAGAGTCAACTTTCAATTAATTGCATTTAAATTAGTATATATATTTTTTTGTTTTACTAGTAGATCTCGACGTACAGGCAGTGATAGCGGCCATTGTCACAGACTCTGGTCTGTCCGAATCCTCGGAATCGGGTGTCACGTTGACCACGGATAATCTGCAGCAGCATGTGATTGCCTCGGCCAGTGCCACCACGCCAGTCACCGGCACACAGACGATGCTCGGCCTGAGCGTCATTGGGAGCAACAATTATGGCACCACTGGCGTTAGCACCAGTGCTGCGGGTGGCGGTGTCGTCAGTGGTGTGAGCGTTGGTGGTGGTGTGGCCGTAGGCGTTAATACCGCTACGCTTATGGAAATGGGACACTCCAGAAATTCCAGTAATACTAGTCAAGTGAGCACATTCATATAATATTTAAAAGCAGTGGTCGCTTGCACATTAGAATATATATAGAAAAACATAATTAGAGGTAATAACCCACAAAATATTATATTAAATTTGTATAGAAAAATATCTTGAAGGTGTTCTAATTGCACAGTGACCAATGTACAATGTCGAAGTGAGGTATAGAAAACTAACGATATTTTTGTTCCCTTTTAGATGTCAAAAGGTTCGGGATATAGTAGTTTTTCGCACAGTCAACATTCGAGGCAGAGTTCCGAGGGAGACTCGGGGCATGCTAGGTAAGTAGCTAACCAGCGCCAACAACAACAACAAGAACTGAAACCATATACCATTTAGTCATTACGTATTGCTACAAATTTGTATAAAGCCTTGACATTGAATTTAATTTGTTTTGCTCACAATTCGCGACGACTATTTAATTTACATAAATAACCTTCTATTACAACTATCTTATAAAATATTTGTTATGCTCCTCTACACTATATGCGCTATATATGCTAAAGCTCTCTATATTAAAACAGTTGTGTGTAACCTTCAACGAAATACACACACACACACACACACACACACTATTTACATAAACACATTTACACACATGACTAGAAACTCTTTTTCAATGTTTACTAAAATTACTTAATACACAACACTGTTAACACAAAAACACACACATACATTAAACGACACACACACATCACAAAATCTTTAATTTATCTTATTACTTTCCTAATTCATTTATAATATTTGCATAGTTAAGTTAGCTTAGTAGCAAGTGCTGCAAATTATAGAAAATAGTCATAAATTTAGTATAGTTTTAAAACTAGTTTCTAGTCACAAATGGTTCATTTAGGCTCTTATCATGTACTTAAATTAAAATCACAACTATTTTCTAGCTATCGATTCTTAACATTAGCGTCAACCACAAATTTTCATTGTTAAGCAGCAAAAATGAACATTTCCCTCTCCCTGTCCACACATATATTTGCAAATAAGTTCTCGTGCGTAGGCGGGGTGGGTGGTATACGTATGTGTGTATGTATGTTTTTGTGCATCTGCACAATGTGAACATGGTTGAGGCAAGAGCATTGTTTACTCAATAGAAATGCACAGCCGATGACTTCATCGGGCAACTCAGCTGGCGTCATGATGAGGCTCTTCAAAGGTCACGCTTCACATTTTGACATTTTATCAGATTTGCTTCGCTGTAATTAACGCATTTTTAGCGTTTAACCTTTAATATATCTGCTTAACTTGTTTTTAGTTGCACAATTTAAATAATAATACCAAGCATGGTATATATACCCATTTATATTTGTAAACTGAATTTGCAACTATTTTTTGCAATATAATAAACTGTGCTTCAGAAAAACAGTTCAAGCAGTTGCTGCTAGTTAATATGCAATTACATAATCATTGTGGTCGGTCGCTTATACGGGGTATAATATTATAAAACATAACATTGGCATAGCAAGTCTAAACATCGATTAGCGCTATATTTGTGGTAATTGCATACTTTGAAAATGTATTCCTATTGCGTTGAACATCTCGCAAACAAAGTGTAGTGCCCTACATATATATATATATATATATATATATATATATATATCTATATAATTATTAACATTAAAAATATCGATTAAAATACAAAAATAGTCCCTGCTCGCTCCATGAAAAACAAATGAGAAATTAAACTCCAGTTTTAGCAATTAAACATATATTACATCAAAGCATAAACTAAATGATCAGGCTCGTTCTACATTTAAATTAATGCATTTCACAATGTTCTTTTGCTTTTTCCCACATTTGGTGTGGTTTCGAACTAACTTTGAAAGTACGCCTAACGGAATTTCCAAAAGAAATATGCTCATCCACAAAACCTGCTAGAGTTTATATATATATATAAGTACTATTGCATATTTGGTGTTAGCTTACATAATAATTAACATACTTAACCTGGTTCTTCTGATGGGCATTTCATAATCTGGTCTTACTTTAAAGTAGCTTAAGCGTTTTCATAAGTTAGTTTTTTGGTAAATCATATTTTGTTTTGGCTAATTTTGTTTAACACTTTTTGTTTCTTCTTCTTTTATAACCAACATATGTTCTGTATATACTTTGAATAAATAAATAAACAATAATCGGGTACATGGCCAACTAACCAACTGTAAACTAAAACATATTAACCTTCACGTAAAACCTTACAAATTACAAATGTCAAACAAACAACGAACGTCGCCCAAAAACGATAAAAAAAAAACAAAAACAAACATACCTCAGTCGATTTAGAAAATCCGTTTCTCTACTCAATAGACTCAATCAGAGAGCTATAAATGCCATGAAATTGAATATACCAGCGTTGAGGCAAAAGCACAATGCAGAACAGGTTCAAGGCCTCGGCCTGGGCCTCGGTCTGGTGCAGGAGCATCAAGTTGGCCCCGCTGCCCCAAAGACCCAGCCGGCCGAGCATCAAGTGACTGTCAGCCTGAGCACCACCATCGAATATGTGAGCGAGGAGCTGCTCTATCAGACGCCCAATGCCACAATGAATTCCAGCGAGCACCATGTTGCCGGCTACGAGGACTTCCGCACGCCGATGGCTGAGATGCCGTTGCCGCTGTTGCTGCAACAGCGGAACACACATTATCAATACGATAGCGGTGACACAAGCTCATCCGATGAGTATCCGCATGAGGACTCGGGGGACAATGACTCGGGCCTCGAGGAGAACTATCACACTCCGCGTGTGGCCAAAATCAAATCCATGGAGAATTTATCCATACTCGAAATGGAATTTCACAAGGCCTCCATGGAGCTGGATAGGAATTCGCCGCGTCGGCTCAAGCAGCTGGCGGAGCATGCACAAATACCCAAAATGAAATCGCTCAACAATCTCTGCTTCGACGATTACTCTGAGGCGGCGGTGCGAGCGGAGTTTCAGCGCATACGCGATCAGTCGGTGGAAGAACGTTTGCGTATTCAGCAGTACAATCATCTGCATATCCATCATCCCCTGCATGGCTATAATCTGCGCAAGAGCTCCACCGCATCGAACGGGTCATCGGGCAAACTGTTTGTGAAGCATCAAACGCATCAGCATCAATTGAAGGTCGGCAATGCCAAGTTCATTGGTCAGGATGGCGGCAGTGATAGTCCGCTGCCCACAAATTATCCGATACAAAAGATGCGCTCCATGGGCACCATACCCGATGTCCTTGGCGAACGCATCGAACCGGATCCATTTCTGACGCCCACCTCCGAACGCCGGCCGAGCTTCAATCGTCTCATACAGTCCGCTGACAAACCGGCCCTGGGCACCAGCTATGTGAATCGTTTGCTCACCTACGATGCTGTCGACTCACCGGCGGACAATTTCACAAATAACGCATCGTTCATGTCACGCACGCCATTCGAGCGCGCCTATCGTCGCACCATGTTGCAGGGCACCTCATCCACGCCACTTTCCAGCGTCACACAGGAGCAGCAGCAGCTAATCACCCAGTCACTGGTGCGGCCACATTCCACGAATGCTGCCTACGAGCTTATGAGGTGCGTCGCGTTTTTCATTTGATATCCATAAACAAAACAAACAAAAAACAGAAACTACATATTTAACTAGTTGAGCAGTCCAACGTTGCTCGTTAAGCGTTAATCGTTAATCGTTAATCGTTACTCGTTAATCGTTACTCGTTGCTCGTTGCTCGTTAAGCCTGACTCGTTAACGTTAACGTCCTGGAATTGAGTTTAGTTCAGTTCTCATTTCACACACGTTCGCTTTTGTCGCGTCCTGGCCCTGCAAAATTGTTTATCATTTTCTTTACCGTCTCTCTCTCCCTCTCCCTCTCTCTCTCTATCTCTATCTCTCTCTCTCTTGCTCATTTGTTTTGTTTTGCCCGTTGTTTTCTTTCTCTGTTTGTGTTTTATTGCGTTTCGTTCAAGTTCAAGTTTCTTTTACTAATCATAATCCCCCGGGTTTAGTTAGACTTAAGCTAATTTTAAGGCTATTATGTATTATATATGTATTTGTATATTAATTAACCATATCCCAAAGGGCTATATCACTGGGATTGGTCACCCTATTGTACAGATAACAGTTGCCACTGGTTCTACACTTACTAAGCACTCACAAGTTGAGGACACTCATTTAAACGCTAGTTTAACATGGAGAACTACCACTAAATTATACACCCTTGGAAAGGGTATTAGAATTATTTGAAAAACTTTTTTGTTTCTCAAGATATCTTAACTAAACACAATCCTTATATGTTGGCAACATTGGACTACTTTATCATCCCATAGCAAGAATTGGTCAGGCAGGACTGCAATTTGGGCTTTTATTGCTATAATTTCCTTCTGTAATGTACCAAGTTGACAACTTAATTAAGAAGCACTTAAAATTTTGATTGCTTCAATTTTCTATTTCCGACTACTCTTTGTCTGACGCATCTCTTCTTACCATCCTTTCCTCAGTCGGGCTGCAATTTGTGCTTTTAGGTGAACACTGATTGAAACTGGAGCAAGGATGTGTCCACACTCTTGTCGTGTGCCGCTTGTCTGCTGTTGAACTTTTGTTTAGCAAGTGACCTTCGGCACATTCTAAACTCTACCTTGGCCCCCATTTCATTTGGCTAAAAACAACTGTTGAAATTGGGTTTGCCTGCAGCTTTATACATTTTAGAATAGCTGCTGCCTCAACTCGCAGTTGACAAAGTTATATTACCAATTCGTCTTTGCGTTGGGAGTGCAATAAATTTGCTTAGCAGCGACTTACAAGTTAGATAATACAAAACGCAGGCTAAAATAACACAAAATAACAAACAATCATCAATATCGTATTTTGTGTGCCTTAAAAGTAAACATTTTTGACGGAAAAAAATCCAATTGAATTGGTTTACCCGCTAGTGGAGCTGCTTGATAGTTTAAAATTTAATTTAATTTTGAATTTCAGCAAAGGTTTTTGCTGTGCAAAACGCGATTTAAATAAACTTTGAAGGGCTACTGCTATTTTAAAATAAATAATGAATAATTTGTATGCATTGCTATTGCATTTGATTTGATTGCGTTCTCTTCATTTTTAACTTGATTATTAATATTATTTGGTACACGCAAGACACACCAGACACACACACACACACACACACACTCATGTATACCCACCCCAACATATATATGAAAAACGCATAAATTAAAGAATCAAATGCTTTTTTATACCAAAGTGCCAGCCAAGTGAAAAAGGCTGTTTACGTTTCTTGAGTTGAAAACAAGCATACACTGTATACACATATTTACCATATTTACGAATGGTATTTGAATACTTGTAATTAACATTGGGATAATTTACTCATCAGTTTAAATTGTGCATATTTTGCAAATGTGTGTTTTTTTTTATTTATATTTCTTATGTCTTCCGATATACTAAATGCAAACCATAAAACGCTTTGATCTGTAACTGTGTCTATGAAATAATCCAAATCGAACCTCATCAAATGCGTGAAACAAACAACAGAAGCTTCAGCGGCGTGCCTCGACGCCTCTTCGACAATACCGGCAACAGCAACAGCAGCGGCAGCAACAGCAACAATTGCAACAACAACAACAGCAACAATAGCAGCAGCAACCGGCAACAATCGACAGCAGCAGCAGCAGCAGCAGCAAATGCTGGCAGCTATGCGCTGGGCCCCAACTCCTCGCCGTGCGGAACACTGGCCAGCATCCACTCGAATCACTCGGCATCCTCCTCGAACGCCAGCAATAGCAGCAGCAGCGGCGCCCTTATCACCTTCCAGTGCAATCCGAACAGTAACCAAGCAGCAGACACAGTTGATGGCCCAGCACAGCAGACGCTGGTGGGTTCACCCAATGGACATGGCAACAGTCCCAGGCTGGGCAACGTTGTATCCGGAGATGCGCTCAGCTCGCTGGCGGCCAGTCCAACCGATGCGTGCAGCATACGCTCGAATCCATCGGCTGCCTCATTGCTGCTCTCCACATCCGCTGCCGCAGCGGAGGCATCCGCTCTCACCTCGGCCACAATGATGTCAGTCTCGGGCGCAACGCTCTCACCGCTGGCCACCACACAGATCATACGCCGACCCAGTGTCACCATGATGTGGGTTCTCTTTCTACATTCCAAACGATTTGTACTTAGTTGCCTGCCTCATTGAAACTATTGTTGTCGTTGTGCTCGTAACTCAATTTGACACCTGATTGTCCCATTAATATATAATAGAGCTGGAATACTTATGTGGCGTTCAATACAGTTTTGTCTGTCCGTAAAATCAAATACCAATCGAATTGTAATTTGTTGTGTAGATCAATATATATCTGTTTGTAAAGCATTTCAGATGAAAATTATATATAGATCATAAACATGCAATAAATATTTCAAAAAACACTTACAATTTATAGCCCAACAAATTAATAATTACAGTAAATCAATGAGATATTGTACAGGAGATATTGTAAATTATAAAAGAGGATGCAAATAGAAAGAACAGATTTATTAGGCTGAAAATTGCTTCCTAATTACAGTAAAACCTAGAGAATAGCGACAATACTTAAATTAGACAATTTAAATATCAATGAAATCAGCTAAATATATACACAAAGTTAAAACAGACTTCGCCAAGCATGTAATAAACTTAAAAGATTTAATAAACGAAATATAGTTGTCTTCGCCAGAACAGCTCTATTATATATAGCTCTATATATATATTTATGTTTATAATTTGTAAAAAATATTTATTATGAATATTTGAAATAATCATTGTGTAAATTATCGTCGAATATGTATCTCTTATCAATTACAGAGTTATTGTTTATTATTATTTAATAATTGTTATGTGATATCGCAGATACAATAACCTATTTTTTAATTTGTTAATTTATATGCTTATCAAAATGGGTATTTTTCCCACTTATTTGCCACGCAGTTTTATGAACTACTAGCTTTTAAATTATTAAGTGTCTCATTCGTCCATCACTTTTTGTCAGCAATATTCAAATAGCTTTAAGCATAGTTCACCGATACACGCACACAAATATGCATTGCATTGCATGGCATGGCCAGGTTCGATTGCCTTCCATTGTTGTTTTTTGTCCCCCTCCCCTCCACGTTGCCCCATATTGTGTGTACTAATCAAATGGGCTCACCCAAAACCAGAGAGCAACGCGTATACTCTTTTTTTTTTTGTTACTCTTATTTTTAATTTATACATAAAATTTATTTTATATTTGTACATTCTTATTCGTGTTGTCATTTTAATTTCGCAGGAATCCCAGTTCCGGTTCGTTAGTTATAAGTGAAACAGGATCTCTAGATCGGACGAAAAGCAGCGGCGAGAAACGCAAGAAGGGCGCCCTCGATGATGGGCCCCGAGTTTCGGACCGAGTCGAAGAGACGCGCGTTAATCCCAACTCTTTAATCGATGAGATATTGAAGGATACGAAGCTGGATCAGTTGGGCGAGTCAGCAGAGAGTAAGTTAATGGACTTATTAATGGCGTATTTAAATTCAACTTTTTCCATTTTTATTTGCTTAGCATCCGGCCTACAACTGTATATAGCGCGCGATGGCACCGCCTCTTTGGGCGGACATGAGGTGAAGTCGAATGTGCGGGCGGGCGCCTTCAAGCAGGTCGTAATGCAGGATCGGAGATAGTAGCGATTCAACGTATCCTGTGTGTCTGTGTCTGTGTCTGTGCGCGTTTCGTAAAATGTATTAGAAGACTAAAACAAACCCACAACAAAATGAAAAGCAAAAACAAATACAAAAACAAAAATAAGATGAGTTTTGAAGTATATACATAAATGTAATGATTAAATTTTTACATGATATCTACTTGCAAGCTAAAAGTGAGAGTAAACATATATAGTACTACCTATATATGAGTATGAATATGGCATGTATGTCATGTCAAAAGTACACTACTATAAATGTAACTAGCTATATATATATACACATATATACATATATATGCCTATATACCGATATAAATAATGTGTGTGTGTGTTAAGCGTTTTGTTAGAGGAAAACTAGAAAAACAACAGCCACCCATGCCTTACAACACAATGTTAACAAGCGGGTCTCCCGCTGTGGAGCGCTGTGTGTTAGCATTTTAGGTTGAGCTGTTTGCTGTTTGAACTTCTGGAAGTTGTTGGGCTTTCGAAAGTCGGTTTCGACTTATATTTTACATCAAGATAATCATTGAATTGTATTTGCACATTTTTATTTATTTTTTAATTGTTTAACAGCGTCCAACACACTTCCGAAGTCAGTCAAAAACTAACACAAAATTAATTGTATATTGTGAAAACCAAAAATGATCTTTTGAAATTTACTAAGAGAAAAAAGCATTAAATTTCTTGCACTTTAAATGTATATAGAAATTAGATTAAAAGATAAATAAATAATAATTACGTACAATTTCAAAATTAAGGAAAATACTTGCAACCATAATTAATTTATTGCTTCCAACATAAATAGAAAAAGAATAATAGAAAATCAAAAATTCTCATTAGTCCAAGACAAAATGCAAATTTGCTTGCCACGCACAGAAATACGCATACACAATTGAAGAAGAGAATCAATAAACCTTCCGTTGAGCTATATATTCACAAATGCCATAATATATGTACGCTGCTTCCATTTGAAAAAAAAAACTGATCAAAGAAAACGATTAGAAGAAGACCCACAGCGAAAGTTGTATCCAATTGAAATTGCTACGCAAATTGTTTGCAGCATACAAGAGTTCACAAATTATTATTATTATGCATATTTTGGAGAATTTTTTGAAAGTAAAGTTTGCATTTTGCTTTTGAATCTTAAATACATTGATAATAGTATTGTTCATTTTGGTTAAATTCGATTCTTTGCGAGTAGCTAGTAATATAAATGCAAACCATTTTTGTATACTTTTACAATTATCCTCAACATTTCAATTCTGCAACTGAGAACTTTTATGTATAAAATAAAAATACAAATTTGTGTTAACATTAAAACTAAAACATAAAAATCAAAATGCAATTAGTTGTTAGCTTAGGTCTTAGTTCTGTAATGATGAGTGTGTAAAATTGCTTTAGTTATTTTTTGATAATTTGTAAAAAGTGAAGAGATACAAGCCAGGTAGCTCGAGAGCTAGTTTTTTAAATTGTATATGATGAAAAATAAAACAACAAAGAAAAAACAAAACAATACAAATGGTTGATGGTCAAGAGTAACGAGCGAATCAAATATTGTTGGTGATATGTGGCCAAAATTATCCATTAAACTTCTCTTGCAGTAAATAAATATTTTTATTGTTTTTAGTTAACATTTTCTTCTTTATCAATGCACAGTTCAATATTCAATTGCTTGGTTGATAAGCCAGCTTTACATGCAATAATTACAGTATATAGTCTGATCAGATAACTCAACTGATAAGCTATTTATGGCCAACAGTATTTGGTTAGCTCAACTGACAAAGTTTGTGAACATTTTTGAGCTGATCTTAAGATGAAAGAAAATTAAAAGTAAAAAAAAAGAAAAATTAAAATAAAAAGTACATATGTGAAAAACAATTACCAATAAAGTGAAAATCTAAAAATTTCTGCAATTTTTTATTGAATTGATTGGGGCAATCTCACAGCTGATCCTTGACAAAGCGCAAATAGGTGCCGCCAGCAGCAGTTAGCACAAAGGCCCTTGGATCGAATTTCATCTCAGAGAGAGTTTTGGTGCAGGTCTCCACGCGATAGTTTTTAAGTATGTAGAACAGACCCACCTGGTAGATTAAGGCAGCACATGCCGATTATTTATAAGATAGGCAGTCAGTAAATCAAACTGAAAACGCACCTTTATCTCCAGCAGACCCAATAGTGTGCCCAGACAGCCGCGAGGACCAGCGCCAAATGGCAAATAAGTCATGGGCTGATGCTGTACGCGTTGCTCCGGCGAGAAACGCTCCGGATCGAATTTCAATGGCTCCGGCCAATACTGCATGAATAACAATATTTGAGATTAGTTTTCAAATTCAGGCTTCGAAATTAGAATCATTATATGTGATGAATATGAGTTGTAGTTATCCAAATCCCACCTGCTCATCGCGATGCAGTCCCAGCACAGATATATAAACCGGTGTACCAGGCGAAAGGCGCATGGGTAAGCCGCAGCTCCAGGCGGACAAATCATAACCTGCTTTCGAGTTGCAGCAGCGATCCAGGAATGCAGTAGGCGGATAAAGTCTGAGAACCTCATCCACCACCTGGCGCAGATACGGCAGGCTGCTAAGCGTCTCATAGCCCAACTGATCAACAGTATCACTCTGTGCTATCGCCTCTTTCAACTCCTGCCTGAGGCGCTGCTGTATGGCCGGCTGTTTGGCCAGCTCGTAGAGGCCAAAAGTGATCGTCGAGGAGGAGGTATCGAAGCCAGCCAACAATAGAAACGCTGCCTGGGCCACAAAGAAATCACGGCGATGCACCACGCTATCCGGCGGCTGTGTCTGCTGCAGCTGCAGAAATATGTCAATCAAATCATGGCGCTGCTCCCCGCTGGCCGCCCGCTGTTCCATGGCCCAGTTCATGGATTGACGCATGAAACGTTCATACTCCTCCGAATACAAGTGAGTGCGCAGCTGCCTGGAGCAGCGTGGAAAGAAGAACATGGTAAAGAGATGCAACAGGCGCTTGGGACGCGGCTCATTCACCTCCACGCACAAGCGACGAAACTCTGCGTCCGGCTGCCGCAGACAGTTGGCGTCCAAGCCAAAGGCCAGCGAGGCTATGATGTCCGTGCTGAATAGCGCACTCAGCTGCTTGACCTCCAGCTCCAGCGTATGTCCATCTGTGTCACTGGCCGCCAGCTGCCTGGCCATATGCTGCTCTAGCTGCTGGCCAATCTTCTGCAGCAGTCCGTACATATGACGCACCTTGCCAGCGGCAAAGAAGGGCGCAAATATCTTATGCGTCTCGCGCCACACCTCGTACTTGGAGAAAAACAGATTCTGTGAACCCATTGTGTCGCCAATGGCATCTGTGGTCTCAAAGCGACTTGAGAACTGTGCAAAATCCTCGACCAGAATGCGTTTAATCAGCGCCGGCTCGCGCAGCAGCAGCGCATGATTGTGAAGCACGTGAATGCCGAGGTAGGCGTGGCCCTTGGCACACGGACTTTCGTACAGCTCACGGAACTGATCGCCAAAGCAGCAACAGCTGCGCAATAGACGCCACACATTGCCCACAAAGGGCGTGGCTGGAATATAAGGAACACCTCGGCGGTGCCAGTGGCCAAAGTGCCAGCGTTGCCACAACCAAATAAGCAGAAGAATCCCCACAAGAAAAGCTATAAACATTTTGCTGCCTGCGATGAGCACAATTAAAAGTTGACTAAATATAAACTAACATTTTTCATTCGTTGAATGCAAGCAAAAATGCGAGAGAAAAATAACAAAAGCTGTCAAGCGATAAGAGTGCAGCGCAGTTGGGTTATCACAATACTCTCCAGCGACTCAATTACTCAATTACTCAACAAGTAACGCACACCAGACAAATGTGTCGGAAATTTCGAATTTTCGAAATTTCGAAATTGCTCAAACTAATTATGTTCGAATTTTTTACTCAAAAATTGATTAATTCATAATCTATTAACGCCATTCGAAATCCTGTATATTATTGTTTTTTCTTTCTTTATCTGCAGTACCCTGTTTGAAAATGAAAAAAAAAAACACTGATTACTTTTATGGGCATACAAATATGCAAAAGTATGCACTGTGAATCAGCAGCGTAAATAAAATACTGCATAATACTGCATGGCAAGTGCATTTAAATAATACAAATCCAGAAATATTCTGAAAATAATACAAATTTAAGAATTGTTCCAATTGCATTGAACACACCAAAGATTTTGAAAAAATTGTAAAATCGTTTCTTTATTTTACCCTTAAGTCATAGAATTGTAGGCACTATATGCTGCTTAGCATGGCGCTAACTGCAGTTGCAGCTGCATCTGTTGACGGCTTTCGGGCTGTTGGGAGTCTTAACTTTGTGTTAGACGTTTAACAATTACATCCGTTGCATACATATAATAAATCTGTCCCCCTCGCGGGTGGCGGTTTGTACAATTTATAGCTGCAGTCTGTGGTCAGGAGCAGCAGCAGTAACCAAGGGAATTGGGTTTGTTGTAGCAATGGGTTAAATTCATATCACGACCAGCAAAAACGGTTAGGAGCCATGCAGATTGGGATGCTGGCCGCTGGTGTTCTGCATTGACTTGGCCACCTCATCCTGCATTTTGCTGGGCGGCTCCGAGACGATATCGGTATGCATGGACAGGTACTTTAATTTATTTGTTACAGCTGTGAAAAAGTTTAAAATTAAATAAAGTTTACGTTTTATGTTTCTTATATAGTTACCTGGTCGCAAATCTATAAGCGAACAATGCTGATCCACCCAGAGAAAGGCTGTGCGACGCAACTCATCCAAACTGGCGCTGGATACGGTCGACGTGTAAGAGGCTAACAAAGGCTCCAAGATGAGACCCAACTGGAACAAAGTCAGTTGTTAATTAGTAGTGCAGTGTAAATAGGAATCTGGTATTGGGCAACTTACAATCCAGAACTTCCAATCGCTCATTGTCTTGTAGCGCACATAGACCTCATAAAGCTGACGCACATTCTCCGTGCCCTGGCGTGTCACAGGCGCACCATTCGCCGGCAGCACAGAGTGCAAATGCCTAATGGATGGAAATTAGTAAATGCCTAATAAACAACTTATTTATTTGGACGTACATCAAAGAGTTGTTTAGCGAATCGCGCTCCATGCGCAGTGCTTCGATTTTTTCCTTGCGTACGTTCCGCTCCTGTCGCAGTTGTTTGATGTGATCAGCGCCCTTCTGCAGCATGGCCGCCTTGCTCAGCTTGGCATTCGGATTCTGCTGCAGCTGCGGAATGAGCGCGTGCAGCGTATCGAAGCCATTCTTAATATTATAGCGTCTCTTCTGCTCCGCATGGATGTGCCCTGCGCGCCTTTGTGTATCGCGTGGCTGATACTTAAGGCTGCTCGGCGACAATGGCGAATCCTGCGAGTCGTGGAACGGCGAGTCCGGCGACAGGCTCAGACTGCTGCCCAAATTGCTGGTGCCTTGACTAAAACTGAGCATCTTCGAGCCGGGCGGACTGTGCAACGCCGGCGCAGCGATCGTCACGGGCAACGAGGCCGACTTCTTTGGTGAGTGGTGCTGCGATGGCAACGGCACAGGCACCGACAACGGCGGGGTTGCCGCATTGCTAACAGCATACAGCGATTGCGTCTGCTGGTTGCTGTTACTGCTGCCGCCTCCGCTGCTGCTGCTACTGCTGCCACCGCTGGCTATGGCATGTGCGGAAGAATTTGACTGATGCGACTTGTTCGCTACGGCGGCCTGCAGGCGTGTATCTACAGTGTGAGAACAAGAGAAGCAATTAGTTGATGCACTGTACTAGTCTTACATAAGATAACAGCTGGTATTTAATTCTACCTAACTGACCTATTATTTCTATTTTAAGAAACTGCCTTTGTCAGACTGGAATTTGCACTCATTTAACACATTTCTCTATAGACTATTTTAGAAATCCGGAAACTAATTCTGATAATGCACCATCTAGATTGATCAGTTGATAATCGCTCAAGCAAAAAAGCTAATACATAAAGGCGAAGATTTCTAGATAGATAAACTTACTCGACGTCAGCAGTTGGGCTAGAGTGCTATTGAGCATGGGATCGCTGGTCGCCTGCTGCATTTGTTGTGTGACGAGCAAATTGCTGCAACTGTTGCTTATGTTACCATGTCCATTGTTGATCGGCGAACCGCCGCCGGCGGCAATAACTGTGTATGAGTTGCTGCGACCCCGTGCCTTGCTTTTCACATGATATTTGGGCATGGCGAACTGTTGCTGCTGCTGCTGCTGTTGTTGCTGTTGCGGTTGTTGCTGCTGTTCGTGATGGATGAGCTTGGGTAGCGATACATTTAGGGGGAGACTATTTGAGCGATGCATCTCCTTGGGCAAGATGGTTGTGTTGGGCGTTGCCCAGGAGGCAACGCTGACGGCAGGCTGCTGTTGTTGCTGCTGCGACTGTTGCTGTTGCGATTGCTGCTGTGGCAACAGCAGACTGGCGACAGTTTGTTGTTGCATCTGCAGATGTTGCTGCTGCTGTGCAGTGTTCGCTTGTTGCTGGCGTGTCAGCTGTATAAGTTGTTGTGCGCTTAGACCCAAGCCCAACGGCAGGGACTGTTGCATCTGCAGTTGCGACTGCTGCTGCTCTTGTTGCAAATAACTTTGTTGCTGCTGCTGTTGTTGCTGCTGCTGCTGCTGCTGTTGTTGTTGTGGAACGCGTGGCATATTCAAAAAGGTGCCGGTTGAAGCTGACTTTTTAAACTGCGGGTATGGTTTGTAACTAATTGAATTGTAGGCACCATCGCTTAATAAGGACATCATGTCTGACTGATGCGGTTCCACTTTGACATTAAGTTGCTGCTGCTGTGGGGCCAGCTGTTGTTGCTGCTGCTGCTGCTGCTGTTGCTGATAACTATCCGTATAGTTGTTCAAGAAACCTTGTGTATTGTAAGCGTTTTGTTGCTGTTGCTGTTGCGTAGGAAAGTGCAGCCGCGGCTGCTGCTGCTGTTGTTGCTGTTGCAATTGTTGCTGCTGTTGCTGCTGTTGTTGCTGCTGCTGCTGTTGGGGCGTCTGATACGCCTGCAACACGGCGCCGCCACTCAGATGCTGCTGCTGATTCTTTTGCTGCTCGGCCAGCATCTGCTGATAGAGGTTCGTCTGGTGCAGCGTCGGCTGTGCCTTGTCGTAGTTGTGCGGCTCCCGGCGGAAAGGACGCTGCGTATTCTTAGCAACACGTCCGTTGATAACGCTTTTGCTGGAGAAACTGTCGCCGACGGAGCAACGATTGCTGCTATCATTGCTGCCAATGGAACCAAAGTGCTTCACTGTATGCAATCGCGTCGCCTGACTATCGCTCAGCAGTTGCTGTTGCTGCGATTCGTTGACCGTTTGTTGCGCTTGCCTCGCCGCCGTAAACTGTTGTCCAATGTCGCCGTAGCCCATGTTACCAATGTTGGGCGTATTCAACCCCAGCATGCTGGCATCCACTTGAGCATTCCCACCTCCACTGCCTCCGCTGCTGGTGGCCACCACATCCATCATGTTGTCGCTGGTGTAGAGCGTGTGCGGAGCGCCAACAATTGCAGGCAGGCAATAGTCGTCGCCCTTAAGCATATCCGCATCGGTGCCCTCCTCGGGCACAGGTGGCAAACGCGACGAGGTCGTGGTGAGCAAATCTATTGCAAAACAAAGACATCATTTTTATTAGTAAATATATTAAAGTACACATATGTATATATATAGAAAATATACCTGAGAACGTAATATCGATATCATCTAAATTCGGTTGCAGCGGTCCCAGACTTGGCTGTATAAAATCCGCAATGCCTGCACCGCGTGCTGTGAATATTACAATAAACAAATTAGCCAAGCGTTTTGGTTAATTAATTTCAAGCTTAGGCACTTACCGATCTCTCTGGAATCGGGAAAGGGAAATGGTACATTTATTGCCGAGAACAATGTATCTGTTGTCCAGTCGTCTGGCATTAAGTTTCTATCGTTCAGCGGAGACCATTCCAAAAAGTCCAATTCACTTTTCTGCAAAAGGGATATTGAAGTGAGAAAATGTTTAGCGCTATCTTAACAGTATCATAACTACAATTAAAATTACTGAAACGGGTATAATAAAGGTATTTGCTTAATTGCGTCCGTCAAAAGATTATATAGTCTCTGTAATCAATCTCTTTCACATACATAAAACCAATTGCTGTCTTTCTTTTATCGCTATAATCTCATTACTCATTCAAATTTTATTATGAAGAGCTTGTTCATTTTTAATGTTTGTCATTTGATTTTTGTGATACAGCTTTTATTTAAAGTTCAAAATCTTGTTTCCTTATTTTTATGTCTCCTAGTGATATGTATGTTATTAAGTAATTTAATTATTGGACTCTCAATCTTACACTACAAAGTGCTCAGCTAACAGATGCATTTGCGGTAATTAAATGACGAATACAACTTTTGCATAGAGCGAAAATCGTTATTCAAAATGCGTCTCGAATCTGGACTTTCCAATCGCTTGAGATGTTACTGAAATCGAGCTGCATCTCGATTATTATGTGCTTTCTCGTGCAGGGCATTTTGGTCTCGTGCATTTTCAAGACATTCTTTCAATGGTCTTTGAATTACATCCTGGCTGTGTCTTTTATGCAATTGAATGCCAATACTTGGATGCGTCTACATCAGCAGTCTCAGCTAATCTTGCTGCAGGGATTGAGCCGAGTGGCCGCCAGACTTTAAGTTGATAGTCTGGACAAGCTAAGTTCCCATTGGCATTATCTTTGGGTCCTATTGTGCCTCGATTGTGTAATAACTGTGATATTTTATTCGAATTCACAGCTGGTTCATTCGACCTTTCTGGGCTTCTATGTGCGGCTCGTGCACCTCCTTGGTAACTCAGCTGGAACAATATCTGTGTGCCAGTAAAATATGTCCGGTTGAAGTGGCCCACAATCTGCATCTGAACGATAAACTTCGGCGAATTAGCCAGCAGGAGATGGTGAATATGTTTGGCGACGCTTTAGTGATTCCCGGATGCTCTTACACGAAAATGCTACTACCACTGAGATGGTTGACACCAGTTGGCATCTATATATGTATGCGAATGTTATTCAGCGACTTAACTGAAGAGTTCAATAAACAGTTTTTAGTTTAAAGTTTAGCAAAACTGATTGCAACTGGCAGAAACGTGTGTAGCAAGAAAAAAATACAAAAAAACAAACGCTCTCGAATTGGTGCAAATCTTTTACTAAAATCTCCCTTTTCCGTTCCAGTCCGCTAAATTTCGTAGAATTTTGTAAGCGATGTGAATTTCAATTCCGCCGTTACATTTACATATACATTTCACTACAACAATGCTTTTAATTGCTATTGTAAATTGATAAGGACAAATTGACATTTATTTTTATTTTTTTTTTTTTTTTTTTAAAGAAAGGCAGACACTAATTACTCACAAAATTTAAATGTAAAAAAAGGTGTGCTCACAATATATTTATTTAAAATATATTTATAAGCTAGTTTGCAGTCCTGAGAACGGCAAAATAATAATTAAATAATAAAAATTGTTGCAAGTGCGTGTTTATTGCATTTTCATATGTATGAAAATAATTATTTCGTTTTGAAAGCGGTAGCTTAATGGCGTGCCTTATCAAAACGGAAATCATTTGCGCTTTCGCATATTGGGAAACTGAAACTTAGTTCGCTTGTTATAGACAGGACATGATAACAATAATAATTATCCTAGAAGCACACTTCAACTATGTAATTCATTAAAGCAGCAATTAACTTAAGTTTTGTTCAGCGATTTCATAATGTTTTGTTCCTCCAATTCATAAAAAGCTTGATATACGAATTAATAGTGGGCACGTTTGAATACGACCATTTCTATACATTATTAAAGAGCATAATATTTCGGATAAAATCTCACTTCAGCTGATTGAAGCAGCAGTTAAGTAAAAAGAAATTGACTCAAGACGCGCGAATTCAGTTACCAGATGGACTTAATGTAAAGTACGCGCAAATTTTCCGCTCATAATGAAATCTGCATTACGGCGTGGAAAACTTTTGAAATTTATACACTATCAACGTTTTCTTGGACTAACCGATATCGATTACTCAAAAAGTGCAGAATGCTATGTGATCAATGGAAATTTGTGTTCTTATTCCATTCAGTTGCTTATGCAGATCATTCAGATAGCTTGCTTTTACAGTGCGCTCGTAGGACGCATCGTGGATATGAGTTCGGAAACGGGAAACGAATTTCATCACATGTATATTTTAACCGCCCCAATCACGCAGATATTAGTATATATCTGGCTACGTTTCCAACAAGAATCGCAGCGAACTCTTCTGCAGATAATAATTCGATTAGCCTGTCGTCTAAATGTTAATACAATGCAATTGAATTGCCCTCGTTGGCATTACCGCTTCTGGATAGTCATCAGCCTGTTTTATGCTTGCGATATTGTAGTAGCTCGCTTTTACTGGAACATTACTCACGATTTGGGCTATCATGTCATCATGCTGGGCTACATTGTTCTGCTTGTGCGCACCAACTACATCATCACGTGCTACACATCCCTCGTTTATGTGGTGATGATCTTGCTTCAGGCACAAGCAGATCAACTTCGCACAGTTCCACTTATATCACCAGAGGAACTGGCCAACAATTTGAGCATTCACGATGAGCTAATTTTGATCTGTCAGGAGGAGATTGTACTGGTTTTTGGCATCGCTTTGATATTTCTTTTTCTATACACTGTACTGGATGCAATATGTGTATGTTATATAGCCACATTGGAGCAGCGCTTTTCGCTAGTGGAAGTCCTATTCGTACTTAGTTGGATACTACCAATTTTCTGGTCTCTTAGTATGCCTCTGATAGTCAATTCAGTGGCCAAACAGGTGAGTAGCAAATTACTTTAGATGCTATTTTAATTTTAAGTATTACATATAAATTTCTAAAGGTATCATCAATTTTGCATGGTGTTGTTCTTCTTATTTCAAAAGTTCGAGTTCAGGTCAGCTATGCGTGTCATAGTTTGCAATTGTGTTCCATTCAATATGAACGCGGGTTGGTTTGTGGCTTCTGAGGCCAATCCCAACTACAACGACGAAAATATACAACAACAACGGGAGCGAATTCGCAAGACGACGAATGAAAAATAAAAATAATAATAAAAATAAATTAAACAATAAAAACGACGAAAGCGTGAAATTAAGAACGACGAAGTTTTTCAGCAGTGTGATTAACTGAAATTAATTAACTTAAGTAAAGATGGCAACTTTTAATGACTAATGCGCCAATTTATATTCGAGGGGGAAGGAGACAGAGCCAATAGAAATCGGTTAAACGAGTTCAGTGGTTTTAAAATTAAGTTAAAATGCTGAAAATATGCCGTTGCAACACGGCGTTGATGAAGAAGGCATCAATGAAGAGATCGAAGAACACGAGCATGGAGCGAACATCATTGAAGAAACCGATCTGGGCAGAAGCATCAATGATGACCGAGAAGCAACAGGGATGGTAAAAAACACGGCACGTCGAGTAACGAACGAAGAGCATAACGATGAAAAACAGTTGTGCCCTGCTATGAAAAAAAATGAAATAAAATAAGTGTACTGTAGTCGAGTGAGATCGACTACGATTTACCCTGAACCCAGTTGTTAAATATATTCTAGTTGTATTTTAAAATTTCCCTTTCAAAGTTTTGCACCAAAATGTGAGCAGGTCTGCAAGTGCGCGCTGCCGACATGCACGTGAATATTCATACATATACATACATGTATACGTACACACAATCGTAACGGGGTAACGGGGCTCTGCAGAATACACAGAAAAACAAATCTTCGCTCGCGTCTGTTATCATGCCATCTCTTTCTTACGCATGTGCACGCGTATTTATGCATACATAAAATGCTTGCGGCTGCTGCTAACTTGGGTCTGATGATCAATAATAGCAGTTGATCAATAATATTAATAGAAGATTCTGCCTTTAAAAGTGTAGCATTTATTACTATCGGAAATTTACATGTATCGATATTAGAGAAACGTAGGCAGTTATCGATCAAATAAAGCAAACTTGATCTGCGCCTGGTATACGAGATCCTATATTCCAAATTTAAAGTCTCTAGCTCTTATAGTCTCTGATATCTCCTGCGTGTCATACAGACTATATCGACTCGGCTGTTGACCCTGATCAAGAATATATACTTTATGGGGTCGGAGATGCTTCCTTCTGCCTGTTACATACAGTTCCAGTTGAAATGCGAGGCACTGTACATCTGCAGAAAACCATTATAACCTTTTTACACATTTTTAATGAGTTCAGGGTATAATTAAAAAGAAGAGTGTTCGAGGTTAGTGACGAAAATTATGTGTTGGACTGACAGACAAAAAGTAATTTTTGCTAAGAAATCGCTTAGAGGCATTGCCAAGCTATTTGTGTTGAGTGAAAAACATTTGAATTCGTGGCAAGCATTGAGGAATGCTCTTTTGAGTTAATTTAAATCAAGAGTGTCAAACAAATACACATGCAATTGAGCGAGAATGAAAGCTTTTGCATCTCGTCGGAAAGTTGAAGATATGCAATATGGGATCGATGGAATTAGCGAACTTTCAATAAAAAAATCGATTCTATATGGTGCGAAGGACTATTTTTGAATTATTTTGAAAAAAAACTGAAAGGCTGAAAAATTGTATGGAAATATGAGAAAGAGTGAGGAATTCGGTAAAGCGAAAACGATTAAAGCTGTATGAACGGAAAAAACTAAAATTATTGTTTCAATTATGATGAAATTAGACATTTTTCAAACAAGTGCAAAAATAAAGACAGGAAAAATGTTTTAAGTGTTAGCAACTCGGACAACAACAAGCTGAAATGTACGCGTTGTGAAAAATAAACATTGGGTTAACATCAAAAGATGTTCTGTTAAATAACATGAAGTGCGCAACATTGTTTGAAGAACGGATTTTTCCATGTTCCACTAGCTGAAGGAAGTATGCAATTTACGTCTTTTGTAACCCAAAGTCTATATCA